GGTTACCCCCCCCCCACCTCTGTTAAGCACTCACAAACGCACACGCACACAGACATATATATCAGTGTGCATGCATGTGTTTATGCATTTTTATATATATACAGCTATACACACATAAAGATATATAGAGATGGAGATATACAGGCATACATGTAGGACACACACACACACACACACACACATTCATGAAATTATTTACAGCAGCAGTCAACCGCTGCCGCTGCGACGCAGGCCCCGCCTCCCCGCACGGCGACCGGAGATGGGGGGCGAAGAACAACTTCAACAACGCCCAGTGCAATGGTAATAAATAATGGGGGGAGGGGAGGGGAGGAGGAGGAGGAGGAATATACACTGAGAAAGAAAAAAGTAGGAGATTGAGGAGGGGGGGAGGGGGCAAGAGGAACCAAAAAAAAAAAAAGAAATGTTTGCGCATACACCGCACATAAATCAGAAATAAAGAGGGGGAGGGGGGAATTGCTGCGAACGTCGCCTTTCGCGGCCCCCTGTGCCTGGTTGGCTTGCCGCGTCTCCCCTGCTTCGAATCGTCCCAGGCATGTCGCGAGGCGTTGCGGCTGCACTCATGCGCGTGCGCGGGGGCGGCGGAGTTGGTGTGTGTGTGCGCGTGGGGTGGGTGGGGGGTGCATCCCCTCCACCACAAGAGGAAGAGGACGCAGTCACACACACACACTCTCTCTCTCTCACACACGCACACGCACACACACACACACACTGGATCATCGTCAACGCGAGGGTCCTCCGAAGGTGGGCAGCTGAAAGGTGCAGTCGCCTATGGGAACCGGGCACACCGTCTGCTTTCGTGTGGGGGTGTTGAGAGAGAGCGGGCCACTGCAGCTCTGCGCATCCTGGCCACCACGCGGTGCAGCCTCCACGAGCCCACTTAACGACGCCAGAGCGTCTGTGTTCATTTGCGACCTCGGCGACCTCGAGAGCTCGTGCCGCCTCCATTCATGGTGTCGGGAACTGCACCCCGGCAGCGGCGAGGAGCATGGACTGAGGTCCCCGTAGCCGTGACCCCCTCTCCACTCCGAGAAACGTGAGCCGAGGCATAGAACGCCCAGCGGCGAGTGCGCCCCCTCCTCAGAGGTGGAGTTCGCACCCCCAAGAAGATCACTGGTCTCCGTCCGCTGCAAGAAGCCGAAGGAGGGGCTGGGCCACAGCGGACGAAGTAAGCAGCCATACCCACTCAGCGGACTTCCGCCCTCATTGTGGCCGCAAATAGCTAAGCGGTCGTCGTCGGGGCGGGCAACGCCGCGCCACTGCGGCGATGGCAACATTTCTGAGCGAACAGTGAAGCTCATTGGGCCGCATGCCACCGGAGGGGGCTGCGGCAGCGGAGAGGCGAGCCTCGCCGCATCCATCAACCGCTCAGGCCGCAGCCGCAGCTCCGGTGGGACGTGCAACACCGGAAACAAGGAATCTATGGGGCCATCCTGCGTCAGGCTAGAGGACGCGGTGACTGGGGCCAGCGCGGGTGACATCATCGTCAGTGAGATACTTTTTCGCTTGAGTGGCCCGTCAAGGGGATTGGTGATGCTTGGGGGGGCTCGCATGTAAATGCCGCTGCGGCTCACGCTGTTTTCAGTGGGGCCCGAGCAAAGTCTCTCCTCAGACCTGTTACAAATTGCGGATTGTGTGCGAAAGGAACGCTTATGGTGCATGATAGCGCCTCCGCCCGGTGATCCCTCCACTGAGTAGGCTGTGAACCGCATCGCCCCCATCGAGGGGATCGAAACGCGGAACAGCTTGTTCCGCGAGGACTCCAAGCTGCGCTCCACGCAACCCGGAGAGCCGCCAACTTTATCCTCGGTAATGGGGACGGGCCATGCCTTCTCTAAGGGGTAGCGTCCAAAGTCAGCGGCCTTTTCCTGCAGCGGGGACCACGACTTTTGCAGCGCAGCGTCGATCACCACCTCCTCGTGGCTGCCGCTTCTTTTGCGACAGTGGCTCCAGGTCTCGCGTCGACAACTGTGGGCGCAGCTGGGATTCCTAAGGGCTCCAAGCTGCAGAGGAGACGGCGCGAGGGAGATGCTGCCTTCCGTTGCCTCTAGCTCTTCCAGCGTCACGTCCCCGTCCGTCTCACTACTGTCGCCAGTGAGTTCCGCAATCCGGGCACACGAACTCCGCGTCAGAACCTCTTCGCCAGCGTCGTCTTCTTGCAGGAACACGGCGTCTGACAACGGCGGTGGCGAGGAGGCGCTGGCAGTGGCGTGTCCCCGCTTCACAGGTCTGCCTACGCCGACTTCTGCGGCGCCGCGTTGGCGGTCAGAGCAGGGCGTCGCGCGATCCGCGCCGGCGTGCCCCGCGGCGAGTAGCTCTAGGGCCCGGGCAGGGCCAGTTTCGCAGTGTTCCCCCGCCGCTCCAGCGTGGAGCATGAAGGGAGCCCCGGCTTGAGAGGCGCCGGAGGACTGCACGGGAGGCGGCTTTGAGGGGTGCTCCACGCCCGTGAGGCGCTGCAGAGGCACGAGCGGAGGCGGCGGCGCGGCGGCACCGGCTGCCACCGGCGCGCGGGGCGTCAAGAGCACCTCGGCAGGGTCTACGACACCCACCGCGCGCCACCCGACGCTCCGCCCCGCGTCTGCCTCGTGCCGCCGCGGCTCCTGCGGTCGACCCACACCAACAGCAGGAGCCGCGGCGGGGTCCTTCACCTCCGGCGTCACCGCCGCCCTGCCATGCGGCGACGTCACACGGCAACCTTCACGAGGGCGCGGCGCACTTCCCTCCCCGCACGTGCCGGTGCGGCAGCAGCTGCTGCAGCCACCAACACCACCACCACCCTGCTCTGGGCTGGACGCCTCCTTCGGTGAGATCTGTGAATGCGCCTCACGACTGTGGGGCGACTTCCGCCAAGCTAGCGGCGCCGCCGAGCCAGCCGCACGCGGGACAGCGGCCACAGGCGAGGAACTACCAGTGGTCACAGCGACAAGGCTGTTGCTTGGTCTACTCGCGGTCGTTGTTGCAGCAGTCGAGGATGCAGGCAGCGGGGGCCCTATCTGCGCCAGGTTGCGCGTCGGCGCAGCGTCGCAGCTCCGCCGCTGCCTGCGTTGCTGTTTCGCCTCCTCCGCCTGCTCCCGCGCCTCTTTTTCTCTACTCGGCAGGTTCATCATGCTTCTCTACGGACTATATATATATATATATGTATACGTGTGCGTGCGTGCGTGCGTGCGTGTGTGAAGCCTCGTCTACCGCCCTGCACTCCTCCTCCTCCTCCACCTCCGCTCTCTCACTCTCTCTCTCGCTCCAGCGTTCCTACCGGAGGGGAGAAGGGGAGACACGCCGGCGGTGGCGGCGGTGGCGGCGGCGGCGACGCGGCGGCACAGCGAGAGCCACGCGAAGTCTCCTCGCCCCCCACACCCTGAAGGGGCACCCCTCGCCGCAGAGACAAGCTCCCTGCCTGCCTGCCCGCAACGCAAGTGCCTGCTGGCTTGTGCGCCGCGACGGTGCACTTCCTAAAGACTACTACGCAGCGAAGGGAGTGGAGCAGCAGCAGCGGTAACCACAACGAGCACAAGACGTAGAGAAGAGGAATGAAAGCGGCAGGATGGCCAAACCGGCTCCACGCGCAACTTTCCTCTGCCTTTGTCCTCTTCCTCCACCCTACCCCCACCCCTGCACACAGCACCGCGCGTACGTCCCCACACACAGTGCTACGCACGGTTATAAACAAATACACGTGTAAGTCTCCTTCCGGACGCGGGGCGCCAGTCGTCGTGGCAGACGCCGGGCAAAACACCTCCCGCCGCAACCGCTGGCCCCACGGTGGTCAGGGCACGCGACGACATGCCCAGCGAGGCGAGGCGCCCATCCACGCAGGCGACGGCATCGCGTATGACGGCGTGAGTGCAAAACTCATGCAGGATTGCCGCGGTCTCGCACATCCTCGATGGAGTCCGCCTCGCCGCCGTCATCGTGGACCCCCCCCCCTCCTACTCACACTCCCGCCCGCACTCCTCGCCGGCTTCTGCTGCTGCTGCTTCGCCCGCCCCTCATCGCTGGAGTTTGCGGATGTCGCCACGCGGAGCCTCCTGAAAGCGTCGCTCTGCAGCAACCGCTGGTCCAAGATGTTCTCCCATGACAGCTGCATCTTCTGTGGCCGAAGCGCCGCGGGGTGCTGCGGCATTGACAAGTTCCGCATGTCCGGAGGCTTTCAGAGCAAGACGGCAGCTACCGCCCCTCTTGCGTTTGTCAATCTCCAACAGCCGCTGGTGCTCCCCGGCGTACGCAGGGACGCCGGTAGAGTCCGCCTCGGTCATGCGAAGTCTGCTACCGCCCGCGCCGCGTGCTCATAGGCGTCCTTCTCTCGCCCCCTCTCCCCCTTCCTACACAGAGCAGCGTGCGTGTGTGTGTGTGGGAGAGAGAGAAGGGGGGGGGACTGTGATGTTCCCCCTCTCCTTTCAACTCCCAAGCAGGGGGGAGGAGAGGGGAGGGGCGACTGGCAGTGGTGCGACTAGCCGCTTCAGGCAGACACACGCACGTGCATGTATCCCTGCCGACCGACGTGTGCGTGAGGGAAGGGGCGGAAGGGCAACATCGCGGCGCCCAGCAGCAAGAGGCAGGGGCGGGGGAGATCACCTTGACGGTGTGTGCAAGCGTGCATCCACCGCACACCGGCACCGATCAACACAACGGGCGCTCACTCACTCACTCTCTCTCTCTCACACACACGCACACACACACACACACACACACACACACACACACACACACAGACAAAGCAAGGCGAAGCCAAAACGCTCAGCCACCCAAAAAAAGCGGGTGTTAATTGGTGGTCAACGAAAAAAGAAGAAAGTAAACACAAAGAAAAACAACAACAACAAAACGGTATACCGTCCATAGTAAAAAAAACTAGCTGTTTCAAGCAAGTGAAGAAGAAGATGGAATATATATTTATACATATTTCCCTTAAAAAAAAACGCCGCTTGGGGGCTAGTCGAAGGCCTGGTCAAGCTCATCCAGAAGGGCATTGTAGCTGTGCGCCTGCGCTCCTGCGGGCTCCGTGGAGGCTGACTGCTGCTGCGTGCATCGAGTTCCGTCCGGTGCACCAAAGGAAGGCGAGCCCAGAGGCTCGACTCCGTTGGACGGCGCGGTCGATAAGTGTCGCCGTGGCACTCCACTACCGTCGGTAAGGGGATTGCGGTGGCCGCTCAGGGCATGCCCCACAATCCTGACGAGGCCAGTGGCTCCGCGCTGGCACAGCGGCGGGGACGCCGAGAGCTGCTGGAGCTGCTCTAGCGGCTGCAGGGCCCCAAAGGAGGCGACGCGGTGGGGTGTGCCAGGGAAGAACTGACTCCCGCCTCTGGCCGCGTCGGGGCGGCCCACAGGCACAGCTGGGTTACTCGGCTTTCGTGTCAAGCTGGGCTGCGGGGCGGCGGCCCCATGCAGCCTGAGAGGCGCGGCCTCGCCCACCTCGGTGGGGGCCGTGCGCGGTCGCCTAGCTTCCCTCGCGGGCTGCGGCAGCGGCTCCGTCGCAGGCGGGGGAGCAAACGCGGACGCCGCCATTATTCCTGCTGTCGCCGGCGTCGTTGCCGGCCGCGGTGCCACGAGGCGGGCGTACACTGTGGAGGCGCTCTGCTCACTGAACTCCCGCAGCCTGGCGGGTCGCTCGCACCAGAAGCTGTGGCGCAGAAAGAACCGCTCCCACAGCTGCAGCTGCAGCGGGCGCACCACGTCCACGAGGGGCCCGAAGAGGAGTTTGTTGTCGGCCAGGGAAAAGTGCGGGTTAAACAGGCCGGAGTGACACATGGCGTCGTACGACACCGGTATCCGCCGTGGTGCGCCGCCGCCACCGCCAGCAGCAGCGGTGGAGTCCCACCCAACACCCTGCAACGTCGCCCCGCCGCCGCATGACCGGTAGAAGCACCGCAGTGGCACGGCGGGGGACGCGGGGAAACCGCACCCTGGGGGCGCCTCCGCAGCGTCACTGAAGCTCTCGCCATCCTCGGTGGCCTCGCCGGGGGGAGTGTCGCCCGTGCGAATGGTTGTGGCGAACAGCACGGCGAAGAACTGACCGAGTGAGAGCGTCTGCTGCGCCACCCCCCAGCGAAGCACGTCGCCTTCGCAGTTCACCGCAAATGTGCCAAGGACGCCGGCGTGCATGAGGCCCAGAATCAGCAGTAGAAAGGCCTCCGTGAACTCAAAACAGTGCGGGTACAAACGCAGCAGCTGCTGCACGGCGTCGAGGAACTGCAAAAGGATGGGCGAGCTCTGACAGTTTTCCGACGCTGGGTCCTTGTAGCTGTCGTGGGTGCCGACGTGGGCTCCGTCCGTGAGCGTCGTCCCCATGCTCACGTCGCTGTGACTCTGTAGCGTGGAGGAGCGCAGCAGGCAGGGGTGTCCAAAGGACACGAACTCCTTCTCCAGCAACGTGATGAAGCCCTCCACGGTGCGAAAGTAGGGATCGATCAGGAGCTGTGTCAGCGCACACACCTGCGAGGTGCGGTCCCAGCCATCGGAGCAGTTAACAACGACCAGCTGCGCATGCTTGCGGCTGTCCGGTTGCGTGTACGAGGGCGGCGATGGAGGTGGTTGTTGCGCATTCTGCTGCTTCTGCGGCCAAAACCGCCATGCGCCGCCGCCGCAGGCACCGCAACGCCAACTACTACGACCACGAAAGGGGATCAGACTAAATGCACGTGTCCAGACATACACGGTAGAGGAACGCGGGAGCACGCGATCGTTGAGCCCGCCAAAGTTCTTACCGGCACCGCCCCCGCCGTTGGGCGACGCCGCCCCCGGCGCACGCATGACGCTCCGTGGTGCGCCCGCCGCAGTGCCCCCGATGGCGGGCGCGAGGGCCTCGTCCTCGGAAACACCCGTGATGAGGCGGGCGGCGTCCGTGGCGGTGCGGAGCAGTCCGTGGATGTGCTCCATCCACGCGGCGGCCGCCTTTGCGGTGGCCTCCACCGTCGCCGCGGGGCCGCACGAGGTGGCAGACGCCGTCGCGTCGTTGCGTGCCGTGGCCATTTTACCCGCGGCCCGCATCACGGCAATAAATGAGGGGTTGTTGTCCAGCACCGCGGCGAGGAGGGCCTCGTACGCCTCGCGCACGACGTGAATGTTCGAAAGGCAGCAGTAGCGCCCCGTCTCCATGCTGAAGCCGCCCCCGACGACGGTGTTTGCGTACGCGTTGATGCGACTGCGGAGGTCAAACGTGCACACCTGCATGCCGCAGGCCCGCCGGTATGACTTGACAGCGTCGACTTTCGAGGCGGAGGCGCAAATGTTGGCGGCCGCTGGCTGCGCCGCACGCACGATTCCGGCCCCTGTGCTCGAGCAATAGTAGGAGAGCGCCTCCACCCGCATCCGCGCCCGCAGGCTCGCCGACTGAATCAACACGTCATCCTCCAGGCAGCCTGGCACGACAAACCTGGCGGGGTACGAAGGGAAGTGCTCGTAGCGGCTGTTGACGCTTGACAGCCGCCACTGTCGCGGGGGGACGCCCTGACGCACGTACTCCCGCACCGGGGAGTACAGCCACCAGGAGTAGGACAACGTCGTCAGCGCCCCCTGGCAGTCCGCGACGTCCTTCGCCAAGGGGGCGGCGTCCGCCGAGCCGCCGGCCGACGCCGTGGTTCGGTGCTCCCGGCGGGACTCCACGTCGGCAAAGGCGGTGAGGAGGTTCTGCAGCACCTGCTGATAGAACGCCGTGTGCGGAGTGGGCAGGACGTTGCCAGCGACGAGGGTGAGGGCCATCATGCGCCAGTGCCGCTGGGCACTGGCCAAAAAGCGGTTGCCAGACGATGTCTGCAGCCCACTGTTGAGCTCCAGGTACACGTGCTGCAGCTCGCTGATCTCCTGAAAGCCCAACCACACCCGGCGGCAGGAGCGTGTCTGGAGCCGCAGCACAGTCGCCATGCTTGCGTCCGCCGCGTTCTGCGACCGTCGAACGTCCATCAGTGAGACGCGGGGAATCACAAAGGTGTGCTTCATGTACATCGGGGCGTCGTCGAGTGCGTCATCCACGCTCCGGCCTCCGTCATCCCCAACAGCAGCACTACTACTGTTACTGCAGCAGCAGCGGCGGCTGCTACTGCTACTGCTACTGCTACTACGACTGTTTGCGATGAAAACGGGATTGGATGCCGCTCTCTTACTGTCGCGGGCGGCCCAGTCTGACGACGGCGGGTTGTTGGCGTCAAACGCACTGACCAAAACGATGTCGGTGTGCGTGAGAAACAAGTAACACGGATGCTCCGCGCTGCTTAAAAACTCGGCGGCCAACCAAGACGCGGAGGAGCCAGACTGTGCCGTAGGACTCTCATGCAAGCACGGCTGGCGGGGGTGCTGCTGCAGCGGCTTCTGCGGGTCGAGGTCGTAGAAACGCACCACGAGCGTTTTGCCCAGACGCTGACGGAGCAGATCCGCCTTCTCTAACATCGTGCGGCTCGGAAAAAAGTCCCCCTCTGCGATCCGTGAGAGGTGACCCGCCAGGCGCCTGTTCACGGGGGCGTGGCACACTGCCACAAGGCGATGAATGAGGGAGGGAAGGAAGCCCTCCTCCTCCTCGCCACCGGCGCCAGCGACGGGTTCGTCGCAAGCCTCAGGTGAATGGGTTGCGCTCGCAGGCGCCGCGCCAAAGAGGGCCACGCCTCCGCCACACGACGATGCTTCCCTGCAGGCCACAGCAGCGTCACCCGCCTCCGCGGCAACGCCGGCGTCCCCCGCCGAGTGTTTGACGTGCGACGGCCTGAATGGTGTGCGGCTCTGCTGCAGCTGGAAGGCCGCCTCAAGCGCCTCGCTGCAAACCGACATGAAGGGCAGAGTAGGCGCCGTCGCTGCTGACGCCACCGCTCGCCGTGGCATCTGCCCAGGCATTGGAAGGTTCCCCTGCGTCTGCAGAGCTCCCGCCTCCCGCGCCGTCTCCACGCTGGTGCTGCTGCCCCGGCTGCCGCTGCGGCGCTTCGCGAGGCTGTCAGGGCCCAGCGGACGTGGAGGTGTCAGGCGCCCGGCCGCGCCCAAAGTCTCCTCCGGCGGAGGCGGGGCCTCTTCACTCCCCGCCGGAAACGCCTGCGCGGGCGCCAGCGCGAGGGGCAGCCAAGCGGGTGTCGCCTCCTTCGCAGCCGCGGCATTGTGGGTCACCTGCGCTAGTGGACGCGGGGACGCCGCAAGGGCGTCGTGCAGCACCGCCGCCCAGTCCACCACAATCCCAACGATGTCCACCGGCGGTGCCTGCGGCGGCCTGGCGGCGGTGGCCTGCTGCAAGTAACACAGCGCCCGCACCGCCATGTCCACGCCCGCCCGACCGCCCGGCACTGCCCCGCAGCGGCTCAAAAGTGCCACACTCCAGGCGGACGCCTGCTGCAGCAGCGAGGGCAGGAGGACCGCCTCCGCGACAGATAATTCCCCCGCCCCTTTTCCCGCTTCCGTCGCGTCGTGTTCGTCTTCTGTGCTGTCGGTGACTGCCTCGCCAGTGGCGTCCGACACCGTCACGAGTTGCTCCTCTGCCACACACAACGCCGGTCCCTCGACCACCGCCCCCAGCAGCGGGTCCCGCAGCGGCATGAGCTGCAGGCACCGCAGTTGCGGCGACGGGCGACCTCGCTTCTCCCGGCCCGCATGCCTGAGGCACCGCTCCACCAGAGGAGGCAGCGTCATATCTATTGGCCGCTGAATGACAACGTGGAGGCCGCCGCCACAGCGCGTCGTGCGGCGCCCGCAGAGGAACAGAAATGGGCCCAGGCCGACTTCACGCAGCTGCTGCCAGGGCCGCAGCGACGCCGCATCGGCCTCTGCCCCCTCCACCGCGGGCGGCGCCTCGAACCCCAGCAGCAGCAGCAGGAGTTGCGTACACGCGCCTTCCCCCACGCCCGCGTCGCAGTCCCCGCCTGTGCTGCCCTCCCGGGCGCCCGCGGGCGTCGGTGTCCCTCCCCGCATGAATCCAAGCGGCGCGGGCGTGCTGCCTCCTCCCCCCACTCCAGACTCAAAAATAAAAGCAAAAACGAATTTGGAGTGTCTCTTTTCCCTTTCCTTTCCCCGCTCCACCGCAACCACGGCAGTAGGGAGCAAGGGCGAAGCTGTGCGGCAGGGGATCGAGGAGGGTGAGAGCGGGCAAGAAAGCGTGACACGCCTCCTGCAAAGGTGGGAGGGCAGACACACGCACGCGGGACAGAGGGGAGAGAGCGAGAGGCAGACACACGTAAACGGCCACCGAGGCCGAAAACCTCCACCTTCTTCACCACCCAACGACTCCATCACCTTTTTTCCGACGCTTTTTTCCCCCCTCCAATTTTTACACTTCCTCTTCCTGCTTCTGCTTTTTATGTGCACGCCCACGCGTCTAGTTGTTTTTCTTTGCACGCATCGCAGTCTCCGTGCCGGCGTCGTCGCCTCCGGCGCTGGTCGACCCCTCGGGTTTTTCGTCGCGCTGGCCCCCGCCACTGCGCGGCCCCCGCGGTAGTTTCCAGCGCCGCCTCTTGTCCTTGCGCGTCCGCGCGTCCACCTTGCCGATGCGCAGCGTGAAGAGGACGGCGTCCACAAGCAGCATGAGGACGAGCCCAACGGCACCGCACACGATGCACGCGTGAGTGGAGAGGCCACGCATGTGCGCCAGGTAGTACCCGGACGCCCCACCGGAGAGCGCCATGATTTGCATGTCGAACCCAATGGAGGCCTCCCGCAGGAAACTGGCGAACGACTCCGCCTGCTGCTCACGCGGAGCTGCCCCGTCGCGCGTGGGGCCGCTGCGACTGCCCACCCGCGCCATCTCTTGGTAGCCGCGTGCCATCATCAGCTGCTGAATGCCTTCAATGCGCCTATTCTTCTCGCCGCGGTGGGGGTTGTCGCTGGGCGACACAGCAGGACTGATGACAAGGCCAAGAGATGCGGCGGTACGCGGTTGGCCACGCAGCGTCGGCGCGGAGCACAAGTCGACGACCTGCCGCAGCGAGAGGCCGTGAATGCTGCGGCAGACGTGCACCGGGACGAGAACCACCAACTCGTGTCTAAAAACTTCCTCCTCCTCCTCCTCAGTGTCCTCCTCCATGTCCTTCGCCGCCGCGCTGTTGGCGTCACGCCGGCTCTTCGCCTTCGGCCGCACTTTGGTTGGCGTCGGTGGCGGCAACACCTGCCGCAGCTGCATCCGAAAGGCATGCCGCACCAGCACAAGGAGGCGCTTTAGCACCCAAAGCTGCTCCGCCGTCTCACACCGCGCTTCGGCATCGCTGCTGCCGCAGTGGCGTGCTGGCGGCAGCGACGGGGCGGCTTTGAGCCACTGGAGGACGGTCGGCACGGTGAGCCGCCCCACGGTGTTGGACAGCGGCGTCCCCGTCAGCAGAGCCGCCGGCACCCGCCCCTCGCCCTCCCCGGCTTCGCTGCCGTCGCCGGTCCCGTGGCACGCCGGGGCATCGGCGGCGCGCTCCGTCACGGCCTCCTCGGCGAGGCGGCGCCAGAGGCGCACGGCGTGCTGCAGCAGCGAGGGCGGCTGCGTCTCCTGCAGCGCCCGGCAACTGTCGTCAACGAACGCCTGCACAACGGCGGGGTCGCCGCAGTGGTCGAGCAGCAGACACAGCGCCACACCCCTCGCCAGGAGGTACACCATCGCTTCACCCGCAACTAGGAGAGAGCAAGTGATAGAGAGCGCACAACAATTTCACGCCAATGCAGGGAACACTTTAAGGCACGTCCGGCAAGCAAAAACAAAGAAACAAACAAACAAAAAAAGAGGCCGTTTTCCGTTGTGTGTGTGCTTTTTTCATTCTTCCTTCCTTTAGCTGGAAACCAAAGAGGAAGGCCAGTTCTTCGCCGTCACTCCCATTCTATTGGTTTCCCTCGCCACCGCCGCCGCGTCCATTAATTAACTAAAGCGCAGGACTGTCTCCGTCGCGGCCATCTCGTTCTCCCGCAGAAACTCCTTCCACTTGGCATCATAGCCGCGCAGTAAATTGTTGAAGGCGTGCAGCAGCGCCACACGTAGCCGCTCCGCGTTATTCGCCGCGAATTCGCCACCACTCACACCACCGCTGTCGCGGGCACTCTTGCCGGCCCTACTCCCCCCCACCCCGCGCCCCACCGCCGTGCGAATGGGCTGAACGACGAGGACTGGGCTTGGCACGTGGGGCAGCGTCATGTCAGAGGCAACGGCGTCGTCGTCGGCGGCGGTCGTACCATGCGGTGCCCCCTCTTTATCCCCCCGAGTAAAGAAGCCACGGCCCGCATTCAGCAGAGAGTGGTTGCCGCTGCTTCTCTGGCCGCGTGGCTGACTTACGCCGGGGCTGCGCGTGGCGGGCATCGTCTGCAGCTTCGGCACCACGCCACCGAGCGAGCGGCGTATGGTGCGTTGATAGGCGCTGCGCCCGGCCGCCACCTCCGCCTTTGTCCCACGCCGCGCTTCCGCCGCCGCCGCTGCGGCTCGCTGTGCGGATTGTCGCCACTTCGTCCAGAACAGATCCTCTATGGCCTGCCGCAGCCGCACGTCCTCCTCGGCAGAGGGTGTGTACAGCACGACGAGCACACCGGCCAGAAACAGCGTCCGCCGCTCGACCGCCTGCTGCACCAAAAACTGCAGTGTGTGAAGCCCCGCCTCGTACTCCTCCCCCCGCGAGGTGTCAAGCGTGACGACGGCTGTGATGGTTTCCGCCGGCCGTGGCGGGGCGGTGGAAGACACCTTCCTCCCCGCCAGGCAGCGAAGCCGCGGCGCGTCGCGGTAGTCAATACCGTACAGGGCAAGCCGCGTCTGCAGCCTGGCCAAGTGTCGACGGGGGCGACTCCACGCGGCCGCCCCTGCCGTGGCGCCTGTTGCCTGCGACGGGGACTGCCGGCTCCACTCCGCCGCCGGTGTCAGCCGCGGCGCCGTGGACATCCGCACCACGTGGAGCTGCTCCCACAGGCTAAGTAACTCTCCCCCGTTATTCCCGCCCGCGCTTGCCGCATAGTCGACGTCGTCGTTGTCGTCGTCCTCGTACTCCACCGCCGCCTCGCTGTTGTGGTCCACGCGGTACAGCGCCTCCGGCGTGAGTAACGAGGCCAATCCCTCGCGGGGAAGCAGCAGCGCCGCGACACAGCGCCCCAGCGAGGGGGGCCGCATGGAGGCCAGCGTGAGCAGCGCTTCCTCGGCGGCGGCGCTGCGCGAGCAGGCTGAGGCGCATGTGCTCTCTAGCAGTGAGGCACGAGACACTGTGCGGCGCGCAGTGGACGGGGCCGTTTCGCCTGTGTCCGCGTCACCCATGGCACCCCCAAATACCACCACGGTTGAGGTCAGCTGCAGTAGCGGCACTGCCGGGTTCCCGGCTCCACCCAGCTGCGGTTGCGGCACGCAGGGCACCATGGCGGGGGTGAAGCCGCGGCAGAGCCACCCAGCCACCCCACGCGCCTCCGCCTCCGGTTCGCCGCAGAGAACTTCGGAGAGAAACCGACAGGCCACCGCATCGTCGTAGGAGGCAGTAAAAAAACCAAGCAGATACTTCATAAAGGCATGCATCCAGTGTGGCTCACTCGCGCCGCCCGCGACCGCTGGGTGGCCCAACTGGAATGAGGCACGCAAAGATGCTTCCGCTGCCTCTTCATGTTGCTGCTGCGGCGGCCATGCGGCTTGACTGGCGGAGGTGCGCCCAACGGTCTCGCGAGAGGTGTCACGCTGCCGTTGCAGCGATGCCCGGATGGTGTCCCGGTACGACATCGACCGCGGTTTGGCGCCTGCCAACTCTGCGGTCGGCGGCCCAGGCAACTTCGCAGGGCCGTCAGAGGGGGCCACAAATGTTACCTTTCGCACGCCCTGAGGTTCACGTGACGTCCCCCGCCACACACCCTCCACACGGGCCCGCTGGGGCGGTGGCTGCATCTCTGCGGCCTCCTCAGCACGCTGTCGCTGTCGCCGTTGCTCCACCTCCGCCTCTTCCTCCTTCTCAAACGGCAGAAGCACCTCACGACCTTCCACAGATGAAGCGTGAACACTGCTCGCACTGTCCAATTGCCCTGAACGCAGTTGTCGGCCGCGTTTGCTTTCCGCCTCCGCCTCTTCTCCT